ATATTTTCATTACAGGATCCTAATGCCTAATTTTTCTTATCAAGGACATTTTCTCTGGTCATAAATAAAGAAAATTGTATTTTTATGCATACGGCTGATTGGCAGCCCCTAGGAGAGGTAAAGAACCAGGATTACATCTTCTTCATTCTGGCATATCGGCTGCTCATCACCCCACTCCCGCATGACCCCTGGGAACTGGCCAGCTCCCCAACAAGCCTTGGAAAATAAAGGCAAGCACCTCAGACCTCAGAGGAAATCAAAGAGTCAGCTCTGTGGCAGAAGCTGTAATTTTCATTATTATATGGTGTTTAATCTTCAAAATATGAAATATGAGAAGAAAACCGGTACTAAATACAAATATCACTTTGTTCAATTTCTCAAAAAGGACATTCTTCCTAATTATCATATAGTCAGACTTATATAAGGTAGCCATGACTCTAAGCATTGGAGAATTACTGAAGGAAGACAAAAAAAATGAGGAATTATAATTGAGATTGTAATTAAGGTTTTTATATAATTTGGTTATGTCACTGATTTTTGATAAATGGAAATGAGAATGTCAAAGATGAGTAAATGATTCTGACAATAATAGCTAGCATTTCCTAGGAGTTAATTCATACTCCCCAAATTGGGCATTAAACAAGAATTATGATGAAAAATGAGATTGTGATTATAAGCATATTTTCAAAGGACATTTCAGAGCAGTGACATCCCAATTATTTGATAGCCACTTAGCCTTAAGGCTTTCTGAGTAATGGTATAGACGTGGCATCAAGGAGCAGCGCATCATGTCTGTAACACAGGCCTGCATAGCACCATTCTGGGTTTTTCAAAAGTCACTGTGACTAAAACTTAAGAGAGGGAAGCTGCTAAATATGATAATCAAAAACAAAACTCGCTCTACCAATTAATATTATACCTTGTTCACCTTTTGAGCTTAGCCCCCTCCTATTTTTATCCTCCAGCTATAGACTGATGACAAAAGGGTATGAGAGAGAAACAATCTTATTCCCATTTGGCCATTGCTTTATCAAAGGTAAAGTTCAATGTAACGTAAAGAAAAGCAACATATAAGTTAATATCTTAATCCAAGTGTGCTAAGAGCTACTGAAGATCAATCATTTTGCTGAAATCAGTATTTCTTTTTTTTTAACCTACTTATAAAAGTATTCTAAATCTCTTCTATTTAGATCAATGTAGTGCTGTGGTGAATAAAAGATAACTAATTATCTCCATGTGCTGGGGGAAAGGTCATGACATTTTTACAAACCCAATTACTACAACCTTAATTATTTCTATTTTCGCTGTTATGAGCAAAGTCTACATCAAAACTACATGACAATATTTCATTTACACTGTCCTAAAGAAATGATTTTTATTCTATAGATCATATTATAGAAGTCTTCTAAGAGAATATGATTTCACAAAAGTGATGTATGACTGACATCTTTTATCCACATTACTTGATGGAAATGTCCTGAAAATTGCAAAACATCATGCTATCAACACAAATGAACATATAACACTTAAAGTCACACACCAGTCTCGTCACTTATGTAAAAAAAAGGAATGTTCTGCTACCATACTAATTATAGATTGAAAAATAGAAACTTTGACCTGGAGAATGGTTCTGAGACTTGTTTAAGAAAATTCTTGCTTTTTCTTCAAGGAGTCTGACCTCTTGGGATCTTGTACTTCTTTAACCACTTCCCAACCACAATATCTCTCCTCTCTTTCAGCTTTATTCTAAGAAGAGAAATTTGGAGGAAGAAATCTTGAGTTCATTAATCTCCTCCTGTGTTATGATCACGAAATAGAGTCTTAGACTTCATGGGGAGATTCTGATATTAACAGAAATGTAACAAAATGCCTGGCACTTTATAAGTACCCCAAAATATTTGTTAAATTGATTTTTTTTTATCCTAAGTCTAGAAGTGTTTAGATTTAGTTTGGACTACATCTAAGTTGCATATCTATATAATATTTTCTTTGTACTTTTTAGGATTGGAAATAACCTGTTCCATATTCTTAGAATAAGTCTGGATTAGAATTAACACACCTGTCTGCCTTAGCCTTAGATTACACATATCTCTACAAATTCAATTGGAAGGAAGGTAGACTTGTAAAAAATAAATTTAAAAAAATGGAAGGGCAGAAATACAAAGGGTACAGATATTTGCTTTGCTGAACACTCTTACAGATAATTTTGGGCAAAAATGATAGACATAGTAGCTACTGATTAGGTAGACATTCTTTTCCCAATAAAATGTGGAAAAAAATTCAAAGTCTGTCACATTCGTAAATATTAACTGTAATTTTCTACAGTAATTTATAGATTTGGGGTAGAAACTAGAATTGTACTTGGAAAGTGAAGAATAACTGAATTTGTTTTTCATAAATATTAGTTCATTTTTCTGGTAGTATATTTTAAATAAGGCAAAATTTCTATATCTATACTATAATCAACACCATGCCCTTAAATAAAAACTGAAAGACAAAACAGAAACAGGAAAAGAGGGTTACACAGTTTTTAAACTGTTTGTCAGTTTTAAACTTACTTTATGTCAATACAATTAAAATTGAAGTCTTTAAATGTCAATGTTGATGGAATGCATTGCTTTAATTCATCTTATTATCTCTTTAAATTCAGCCTAAAGATAATTTTGTCTTGACATGATTCAAAAAGTTTTCACACATCAGATAACTTCCTATGATGTCGTCGCATCTTTGCAACACTATGGCCTTTGCAACAGTATTATAATCCAACATACATTCCTCAACTACACAAAAATACACTGGATAGAAAAACATCATGAGGTCTCACACAATAGCAATGTATTTGTAACTTAAGTGATACCAATAATCACAATTACCATCTAAAAATAGTAAATGATTCAAAATACAGTCGTCTACCACTTTCAGACACTGACATTGCCCTGATTCTTATAATTCAAAATTAGTGTCCTTGATTTTAGAGATGAGAAAACTGAGTCTTCAAGGGATTATTTTTTAGAATCTCACAGGGTTTCACTACAAATGTCAGTGCATCATTCCCATCTACTCCGTTTTATACACGTCTTCCTGTGGTCTCAGATGTCTACCGAAAAATATGAAACAGTGAAAAGTTGGAGGTCACCAACATTACACCCAGAGAACAGCGATATTAAGCAGTTTTTAGTTTAAACTTCATTGGAATGAGTGCATTTTCATCCACAGAAATAAGCTGCTACATTAACTTATTGATTTGCTTCATTTAAAACTAAGTTTTCTCGTCCATCTCCCGCCTTTTCTTTCTTCCTCTTCATTCTCTCTCTCTTCTCCCTCAGTTGGCAAATACTGATACTGCACCAAAACCAGTTTGGAACAGTGGGTGAAAATACAAATATAATACTATTATTCTTCATATTTTCTGTAGGAAACCGTGCAGCAAAATGAAAAGGGTATTTGATTGCACTCCATGTAATCAAACAGCTGCTTTGTTCTACAGCACTAGTTACGCAGCTATTGTGTTACCGTGGACATTGGTATGTAGTCTCTGTGGGTTTAATTTACAGTATGGGATTCCCCCTAAGGACCCTAATTAATTTTTTAAAATCGAGAACAGAATGCAAAAGAAAGATCTATGTAGCTATAGAGTTCTCAATATTAAAAAAATTCTGGTATGGAAAATCTGCCCAGTGTAGGCCTGTTTCTGCAATTTTAACATAACCATAAAGATTGCCATGAAGATTTAACTTGAACCACTGTTGCTTCTGAGACAGTTCTATATCCATAGACAATTTCTTTTCTCTAATTTTTAATTCATTGGCATATAAGTTTCCTTCATAAATGATATATTTGGACATATAAAATTTGATAAATTTATATATATCTGTATAATCAGATAATACTATCCAATTATAGCAATTAACAGATATATGCTGACTAACTTTTATGATGCACAGATTATATGAAATAAAATTTAGTTATTATAAATAAAACAAACTATATTTTTTGAAAACACATATATGCCAAAATATAAGTTTTGCTTTTGGTTTCATTAAAGCAAATAGCATATCAAAAGGTGTTTCATTTCCTACAAAGGAAGTGAATAGAATCAAATTTATGGTTATAAATCTCACATTTTAAATGTCATATTCTTCTGAAATTTAATTAGAAAAACTGGAGCCAAGCTGGCATTAAAATGCTGCTTAATTTTTCATTGAGATAAGAGCACCTCAGTCCTCAAAACTGTAATTTACTATTTATAATATAATTCTACACACACACACAATATCAGTATTAGGCAATTTTCCCACAGGAAAATAGAGTATGCTAAAAATATTTTAGCCATTACACACAAATCAAATTTGTTTCATTATTTTACATAATTACAACAGACCTTTTATTTGCCTTTCATCTTATAAAAATTATCAAATAATATCACATAATACAAAACTCTAAACTTTTTGGACAATATGAGAAAACACTAATATTTTATCATTAACTTAATTATAACTTCTAAAGCCTATAAACCATAAAATATAGATAATTTCAACATCAAATTTATAAACAATGCATGTTAAGACTTATATTCAATTATGTCATTTCTGATTTGCATAAGGCAGAAAATAATATTATTTGAAAATTATTGACCTAAAACAAAGGATTCATTGACCACAAGATGCTGTATCTCACATATTTAAGTCTGTAACGTAATTTAACATATACTTTGGAGATATTTGTTAGGAAAACGAGGTATTTCATAATTCAAGGATAATAGCAAAAATATGTAATTCAGTCTCATAGTGATACATTGGCAAGCATAATAACTACAAATACAGGAAACTATAATTAGACTTAGGACAAATCAAATCACGTGAAAGATAACTGAGTGGCAATAGGGTGTCTAGTTAGATCAGAGAAACAATATACTTTTGCTTACCCCAGTGTAAACAGTCAGTTGTAAGATGTGGGGTGGAGTAAGATGGTATAAGCAATCTTTACCCCAAAACACTCACCTACTGTCAGCTGTCCAGTTAACTGCCCCATGTGATTTCTTGCATTCACAGTTACATTCCTGTCAGACTGCAAGACCAGTGGACTATCCTGGGAAACACGTATAAAATAAAGAAATCAAATAAAAAATAGAAATATAGTCAAAACTTATTATATAAAATTATACTGCATTTGTTTGGATATTATCAAATTACATTTCTGTGTTTTATATTTAGCAGTTATTTTTAACAACCCAAATATTAGGTGAACAATAAAAATGTATATAGATGCCTCATAATAATGACTTGACAGAGTAGGAATGTTTCCACTTTGGTAAATGGCATTGACTATTTGATATAAGCATTTCCAACTCTACTGATTGTTTTACATCAAAGGTATGGCAACCCCTCTCCTGGTCATCTCTCAAAGGTATATATGAGAACCTGTGGAGATATTTTAGACCCTACCCAAATGAGGAAGTCCCCTTTTAAGTTGAACTTACAACTTTCAATTCTCAGCTTAAATGTTATCTCCTCAAAATTGTCTCTCCTGATCATGTAACTACAGATTAATTCATTCCCCAAATTCCCAGTCTCCAATTATTTTGTTCAAAGTTCTTACCGAAAGACAAATTCATGTTGCTTTAATATGTGTTTAGTTGTCTTTTCTGTTTCTGTCATAAAGGCAGCCTCCATTGGACGGTGGCCATGGTAGTCATGGGTACACAATTCTATCTTTGCTACTTAGCATATTGCTGAAGGAAAGCATTTACTAAGTATTTATTAAGTGGGTAAATTAAACTCCATAATCAATTGGTATTACCTTTATCAATTACTTCATGTGGAAATGCTTTGTAAATCATAGAGTAGTTTATGTAAGGAGGTAATACTAGAATATAAGATGTTTCCCTGGAAATTCTCTTTTAGTATATAAGACATTGGTTTAATGTATATTTTTATCATCAATCTAGCATTTAACAGCAAAATAATTTATTAAAGGATAATATGACTGCCTTAGGAACCTGAATATTAGGTTTTTGTCACAACTGGCCTCAAACAAGTAACTTACAAGTGCTTACATTTTTATTTTTATGACCTAAAATTTAAACAGGATGATCACCTAAAAACTGTGTATTCATTCATTCAACATTTATTTATTAGTGCTCATTATATATGATATGATATTCTAGAGGATTAGGACTTCAGTGACCAAGACATAGAATAAAATCTGCCCTCATGGAGCTTTTAATGTAGGTATTGAAATTCTGTAAAAATCTTTCCCAATACTATACTATCTAAATGATGCATGTGCCACTTCTATGTCAATGTAAATATGCAAGTACTTTCATATATAAGCCAAATCAAAACTCTTTTGATATTAGGATTTGAAATTTGTGATTTGGATATACATACAAGGGTTTTATAGGCTTTTTCCTAAAGCTATTTTGTGCCCCTTCTGATAAGATTCAAAGCTTTGAGCAAAGGTATACACATAAAGATAGACCACACACAGGAGTGCACACTAGTACACATATACACTGCATGCACACAAACACACACACAGTTTCTTTTAAAAGTGGGTTTTGCCATTGTGTCTAAGATTTGATTTTTAAAAACAGTTTTTTACATTTTGAAGAATGCATTTATTCTATAAAGTAAGAATTAGATGCACAAAAAGCATGTAGTTTTTATTCTCTGCCTGTCTCTTATCACAACTCGTACATTTGTGGTAAAAATCAAAGTGTTATTTCAGTACAAAAAAAAAAACTATTTCTGTAGGTATTTCTATGCTGCAGTCATTTATCTATGAAAATATCTGAGGTATTTTAAACTAACATCATCATTCTCTTTGATCGATATGTTCAAATTCTACTTACAATATAGGTTGTGGACTAAGGACTGTTTGCAAACAATTACACCCCATAAGGATCTTGCACAAAAAGGATGGCTCATAAAAGCACACATACACATACACATGATTCTATTTCATGGTGGCAGAATTAAATACATGCAACCAGTGTATTTTAAAAACGATCTTTGAACTAAATACATAAGAAATAGCAGAAGCCTATAAAGCACCTTGCAGTTCAAAATATTATAAAAATACATTGATTAATTTTTCACTCACATTTGTTCAATACTTTATGATATAACATGATTGTTGAAATTTTAAAAAATTGATCACATAATATGCTTTCACTTGCATTACTGAACCTAAATTTCTGGTAGCTATAGCATCAAAAAAGCATAACCATTAGTATATATAATATAAGGACTATTACACACTAATTTGATTATAAGTATATTAAAATAATATTTTAGTATATTCTTTTAGTAAGTTTATTAAAAGAATTATTGCTTTATTAAATTTTTAAAGATGGGATAAAAGTCCATTTTAAAAGTCAGTAAGAATTTCTTCTGATTTAATAGAGAAACAGACAGGTTAGAATAGAAAGTTTATTATTTGTCCTTGTTTACAATATATCAATTAACTTTTCTCTTACTTTAACCATAGAGATCCTGTTGAGGTTCTCTCCTTGGCATTCTTCCCTTCTCTTCACATGATTTCACTAAACTTCCCCTGAGAATTAAATGTTTAGGTCTAGATTAAAATTATACTCTGATAAAAATGCAATCTTTTTACTGACTAAAACTATAAACATATTGCTATCAGAGGTAATGAACAATTCTCTATTCTGTATCCATATGGACATCAAATATTATTTATACTGATTTGTTAAAAATATGATGAGGTGAACTGAATAAAAACAAGAAACCAAATTTGGCAGACCAAATGTAATGGTTGTAAGAGCACTATTTTCATTGACGAATCACACTATCAGTCCTGCATTATGTATCAGCTCGGTGACATCTTTCGGGGTTAGAACCATAGCTTACACATCGTGTGTTCAACACGTGACAACACAATATCCACTCTGTGCTAATAAATACATGTATGTGATAAAATTGATAACTCCTTCAATCATCCAAAGAGGACACAATCTGAAGCAATTTATAAATCTGATACCAATCACATTTTTAGGTGAAAACTCAGTATCAAGAAACTGCCTCTTACTGAAAGAGACTGAAATTTAAGAAGGTTTTATATTCTCCTTCCTGCGTTAATTTCTCCAAAAAATCTCTACATAAGAAAATAACCTCTTCTGATAGATCACTGCTTTCCTCCCTTCGTTTGTATATGCCCCTTTCTGGTTCCTTGGTATTATATTCTTGTGTTCCCAAACTTAGAAAGCTAGGTCTAATTTCACATATTAAAATAGACATAGCAGTGGTCTTCTATAGCTTATTCTTGCTGAGACTCTAAAAGGGAGGAAACTATTTGGTGGCATCATCTCCTGGAGTAGGAATGAGACAAGTTTTGTAAGGGAAAGTAAGAAGGTGGCATATTATTCTGCATCATATACTAGTATAAATAGCTTTTCTCTTTTGGAGGAAGAAAAATCTCATCTTTGGACTCAAATATTTTTCCCCCCAAATCAAGAAATCTCCCCTTGCAGGTATTTCACAGCTGTCTGCAGCTGACCTGTATCCTCGCTGTAACCTTAGAAAACATATCTGCCTTCTTGCGCTATTCTTGAAACAAAGGAGGGAGGCGATCTGGGAGGAAGGCAAAGAAAGGTTAAGTGGGTCCCAAAGCTCCGGCTTATGAGTCTTCTGCACACACATTCTTTAAGGCTGTCTGCAACCTTGCTAGTGGTTATAGAAAAACAGTGCGGTATGTTCGTTTTCGATACTTCAGTGATTGGCAGTGTGAGTAACTCAGGCAAAGAAATGATGATTCCTTTCTTCTTACTTGTATTGTTTTTACCTTTGTTTATCATCAGTATTCACTGATTTCACTGATTATCTATTATGTGTCCAGCTCTTTGCTAGTCAATCTAGTAAGTGGGTATAGGACAGAAACAAGGGAGACAAACTTTCTTCTCTTAACGGAGTAGTTAATCTAGTAAGCCAGACAGACAATACACCAGAGTAAAAATAAAAGTGAAAAACCAAACTAGTAACAGGCTGCCATGGTGGAGACTTTCCTCATACAGTATTCACACTAGTGAGAAGTGTGCGGCGTGCATGTGTTTGCGCATGCATGTGTGAGGCACTTCCACTTCAGATAGTCCTTCTCGCACGCTTAACCGGTAAGTTGTAGTAGAAACAGCAGCGGCAGGGGGCAGCAGCTATTTTTACCGGCACCTGGTCACTGGCAGATTCTAAGGTCTTTACATGTATGAGCTCATCCACTCATACAGCTGACAATACAGTCACCCATGGGAGAATCAAGTTGTAAGAATCAAGTTATAACACAGTTGTAAGACAGACAGTGGCCTACGGCTGTTTGAGTTCAAATAGTGAGTCTACCAAACACTTTCTGCTTGACTGGGCGAGTCACTAAACCTCTCTGTTTCCATGATTTCATCTGTAAATAATACATACTATTACATGGTTTCACCTGTAAATAACACAATTTGTGGACATTTATATGCAATTAATGAGACAATATATACAAAATGCTTAGATTGGTGCTTAGCCTTTGCTGAGGACACTATTAGTGTTTTCTTTTATTATTCATTCCTTACTACAATTACAACATTCTCCTAATAATAGGACTGGTTACACTTCCTATACACAGGAAGAAACTTCAGCAAAGAGAGTACAAGTCACTGTTCTAAATCACACAGCTAATAAATGACAGAAGCAGTCCTTGAGCAGAGCAGTTTGGGTCTGGAATCTTCCTTGTCAACCACTATGAAGTCCTCTGGTGGATGACTGAATTCTAGCCTTTCTGAAATGTCAAATCAATGTCTGAAAATAAATTTAAATGTTAATTTAACAAAAGGTAATTTAAAATTATACATTCTAGTCTCTAGAAGAAATGCCTGACACAGAGTCTGTCAGAGAGTGTGACATACGGCCTCCCCATTGCCATCGGCCGAGTCTCAGGGACGGTCTGGTGCAATCTGGTTCATTTTGCTTTTTCAGATTCTAGAGAAGAGTGCACACTCCTGAACTGCCCTCCGCACACACATTTTAGAATGTGTCACCCACGAGAGGCTCCCTACTATCCTGAAAGATGATAATTATGATCTACATTGTTAA